TAGATTGTTTCTTCTGTTTTATTATTATCATCATTATCATCATCATTCTTATTATTATTATTATCATTATTATTATTATTATTATTATTATTATTATTATTATTGTTATTATAGCATCATTATGTTTTAGATTATTGTTAGAAAGCCACATCTGGAACATGGACGCCATATTGGATCAAGGGCAGGTTCCTTCCAAAGGGAGGATGGATGGATGGATGGATAAAGAAATGGATAGATGGATAGAAGGATGGATGGATGGATGGATGGATGGATGGATGGAGGGATGGATGGATGGATGAATGGATAAAGAAATGGATGGATGGATGGAAGGATGGATGGATGGATAGAAGGATGGATGGGTGGATGGGTTGTTGGGACCAGGTGGTTAAGGCCATGACTAGAAAACCCTGGACTCCTTTTGTCAGGCCTCCTGAAATGGAGAGGAAGCCATTGGAAGTCGGTGACCGTCATTCGGCCTTCTGACCTGCTTTGCATCCCATCCCCCCTTAAAACCGAAGCTCCGGGATGATTTATTCACGGCTCGGTACACAGATTCGTGTATGCTCGGCGTGTCCCCCTCCCACCGATCAAACAAGTGGAGGAGAGTCTCCTCCAGTGTTTGCCGTCAAACACAGAGTGTGAGTCACTCTTTAATCAGCAGCTTCAAAGGTCTTTCATCGAACAGGGAGGGACGTCCCTCTCCACGTTACTCAGGGCAGCTAATGCTAATCTGACCTCTTCTGCTACGGCTAACGAGTCAGTTGAATGGTCTTTTCACAGTCCCACACGAGCATTAGCATTAGCATTAGCATCTCCTGACCCACAGGTCTGTGTCCTAACCATTAAGTTGTTATCAGAGTAAATCCCTGTTCAGCATGAGTCTGACAACTAAGCAAGTAGATAAATAACTTTAAACTTTAACACATGCTCTGATAGGCCGGGATCGGATCGGAAGTGAAAAAAGATGGATTAAAATAATCCATTCCACTTTGGTGTGTTGTTCCCTAATATCTGGTCCGGTCATTTTCCAGCAAACCCTTAAACATTAGCATTAGCATTAGCATCTCCTAACCCACAGGTCTGTGTCCTAACCATTAAGTTGTTGTCAGAGTAAATCCCTGTTCAACATGAGTCTGACAACTAAGTAAGTAGATAAAGAACTTTAAACCCAGACGAACATTAGCATTAGCATCTCCTAACCCACAGCTATGTGTCCTAACCATTAAAATCAATTCAATTAAATGTTATTTCTATATCACCACATCCCAACAGCAGTTCTCTACCAGCTTTCAAAACAGAACAACTCAAACTCTCAAGTTATTTAAAGAAGAACAACAATTCCCACCAAGAGCAGCCCTAGGTGACACAGGGAAGGAAAAACTTCCTTTAGGAGGCAGAAACCTGGAGCAGAAGTCCGATCCCACACGAGCATTAGCATTAGCATTAGCATCTCCTGACCCACAGGTCTGTGTGCTAACCATTAAGTTGTTATCAGAGTAAATCCCTGTTCAGCATGAGTCTGACAACTAATAAAGTAGATAAATAACTTTAGACTTTAACACATGCTCTGATAGGCCGGGATCGGATAGGATCAGAAGTTAAAAAAAGCTGGATCTGGATATCCCTAGTCCAGACCTGTTCCTCACTCTTGCTTCTGGAAGTGTTGGGATAAAGGTTAAAACTGACCCCACTGGATAACAATATGCTGCCATTTAAGGCCCATACGACAAAACAAACACCAGCATGACTTGATGCCCATTAAAAAAATCTTCCTGGATCTTCCTGTTGGTGACATAATCAAAATGGCCGACTTGGATGTGGGCGGAGTTGGATATGTACTTGATTAAGGGTAGCCTGTTATTATTAGCCATTAGCCGCAGCTAACAAGGCTAACGTCTTGTTAATGATCATAAACAACGTAAATAAATAAATAAATAAATAAATAAATAAATAAATAAATAAATAAGAGAAGGGGGGTGGTATCGATACTTTTTTAAATGAGTATCGTATTCGGATAAAACGTCTTAGCATCGATACTTTTTCCGAGTATCGCTACTTTTGACAACTCTAGTTAGATCTAACGTTCCTAAAGTGGAGCCGAAGCCTGGAATTGATTTTAATGAGTTTCCGGATGAGTAACGGCCTCTTGCCCTGGTCTTTACCCCCCTAACCCTAACCCTAACCCTAACCCCCCCCCCCAGGCCTGATCGTGTACCTGGGCATGATGGTGGGCGCCTCCGTGTGGGGCGGCCTGGCGGATCGGATCGGCCGCAGGCAGACGCTGCTCATCTCGCTCTCCATCAACAGCGTGTTCGCCTTCTTCTCCTCCTTCGTGCAGGGATACACCTCCTTCCTCTTCTGCCGCCTGCTCTCCGGCGTCGGGTAAGCAGAGGGATGTCGGGTCTAAATACGACCGTTAGAGCCATATAGATATTTTGTTTTATCAGAATCAGAATCAGAATCAGAATCAGGTTTATTGCCAAGTA